CTCAGCCCCGGGTATGCCTGGGTTAGGTTGAGTTATGTTTTTGCATCCCTAGTTTAGATGCCTTAGCTATAACATACTGAATGACCAGTTATTTCAAAATATTAAGAACAGAGTTGGATATTATTAGCTTCCTATAAATGGTATCAAAGTCATATTTAATATTATGAAGAGTGATGGATTTTAGTTATTAGAAGATGTTGTTGTCATAAAAAAACTAAATAATTGCATTATGACTTATTAACTTGAATGAAGACCTATTGATGCAAACGGGGTTAAAGTCTTGATTATAGTTTTCAAAAATATAAGATTTTATGTTGTTATATCGTTAATAAATTTTTATATATTTTTGGTAAGGTTATAAAGAAAGATTTGTTCATTTTAAAAAATAGCATAATTTTGACCATTTTGTATGTTATACGTTCATGATTTTTTTATTAATTAAGATATAGATACATAAGAATTTGCATTAAAATACATACCACTTTTTAAATGATTTTATGTAAAATTTACTAATATGGTTATGAATTTCAGTCTACTAGAATTAATTATAAGAAAAATATATATATTACGACTCTGTGTAATCTTATACCAAACATAATAGAAATTATTAATAGTCTAATCCGATGTTGCCCAAACACAATACAAAATTTAATCCTGTCCCAAGTTATAATTCTGTATAATATAATACAATACGGTCAACACAACAGTAAACGACATTTTCCTACCCAAGGTTTTCTTTAATGACTTTTTCCACCCAAAAATTTTCAAAACACCATTTATCCACCCAAAGTTAATATTTGTTATTAACCAAAGCCGATTCCGATGACAAAAATTCGTTATGTCATCATTATTTGAACCTCCGGTCTCCTCTCCAGAAAACCTCTCTCACTCCGACACTTGATTCTCACCGATTGCTAACAATCACAAAGTTAAGATTTCTTATTCTTAGCTAATTTCTAACTGATTCTAATGACGAATCTTTAATTGGTCACCACCATTTAATCCATCGGTCTCTATTTTATAAAAACTCATTTATCCTAGCTCCTGGTAACTCATTGAACATGAATTAAGAAAGTGAAGTATATTTTGAATATTAACGTATGCGTTTGGTTTAATATTTTTATCCCTATTCTGGATCCTATTTTTCAAATCGCGTTTGGTACAATATTCTCAAAATATTACCCTATTTTTTTTAATTACATTTTAACCCCATAAGGTTATTAATTTCACTAAATACCCCCTGAAAAAAAAGTTTAAAATTAACAAAAACACCCCCATCAACCCAACTTGTCAGATTCCGGCAACCACCGTACCAAAACATATATTAAGAACATTCTAAGCTTACCAGCTGAATTATAAGCTGAAAAGCGCCTCTGAATAATGCGAAGAGTCTCGAAATCATCCTCTTCATCATCGTCCGAAAGAACCGGTGGAAGCGTACACAAAGCCTTCAAAGACAAAGGCTGGCACGAATCATCCGATAACGCCAACCGGTTCTGAATTTTCCGGACCAATTCAGATCTCTTCGCCATCGGAACTCCAGAACCTGCTGGCGCCGCCAGAGGAATCGGCTCGACAGTCAGTTGAAGTTGTCGCTGTTATCGAGGTCGTTGGGATCGGTGTCTGTGATCATACAGGCTCTCCTTATAGCTTCCCTTTCCTCCTCATAAAACCTTCGTCATTCTCGCTGTCAGAGATTCTCTCCGTCGTCTTCATCGCGAGGGTGCATTATGTTAGGGAGAGAAAAAATTTCTTCTACTTTTTACCGTTTATGGAAAGAGCTGTTAGGGTTTTTCATAAACGGTGGAATTTAAGAAGTGGCGGTGCTCTTGTTTATAGTATTTGTGGAGAGATAAACGGCCGGGTCGGCTAAAACAATACCCGGTTAGTTATTCGGGCTTTTGATGGGCTCGGTCCTGGTCTTTCTTTTTCTACACACAATGTCAGGCCATAAATGAGGGTTGGTTTGTTTTTTGGGCTTTAAGTTTTAATGTACGAAAAATTACGTGGACACCCCTAATGTTTGGAAAAATACCTCCTCGTCATTAGTAGTTTAGTACCAAAATTTTGTAAAAACAATGTATGTTGTGACCTGAAGTCCCACGTGCTCCCGTGTGAGAATAACTGTGTGTTGAATAGGCAATAGGCCTATACTTAATGTATGGTCTTGGGCTTAAAGCCTAATAAAAAAACTGTGAAGTCTTATAGTGCTAAAACAAATAATATCTACTCGTCTAACCTAAAAGACCTATATTTAGTAGATGCATTCTTGGGCCTAAAGCCCAAGAACAAAACCATGAGTCCGGGTAGTAGTAGACACCTTTTGGGTTTGAAGCCTTTACACAAATTGTTAGGCTTGGAGTAGTAAACGCGTTTTGGGCTTGAAGCTTAGAATAAAATCGCGAGGCCTTATAGTAATAGACGCGTTTTGGGCTTCAAGCCTAGAAACTCAATAATAGTAGACACATTTTGGGCTTAAAGTCTATAAACAATCGTGAAGCTCGTAGTAGCCGACACGTTTGGGCTTGAAAACCAAAAATAAAACTGTGAAGACTTATAGTGCCAAACGAACCAATTCTCAACTATTTACAATAATGTAGAAAAAATAGAATATAATAAATTCATGTGGAACCCACATAAATCTACAAATAAGTTAGGTTTATATGGTGCAACGGAAAAAAATACAACCTTACCCTTAAAATAATATAAAATTGATGGGTTATCTATATATGAGACCAATAAATGCAACAAAACCAATGAGTTATTAGGTTGTAACTTATAAGTTGGTATCCAAAAAGTTTTGAAACGACAAATAGGTACCTCGTCATGTTCTGTTAGTGATTTTCGTTGCTAATAGTGAAAAGACTAGAATGCCCTTAAAGGTTTGATATTTAGTTTTTATAAATTTAAAAATTTCTAAAAAATCCTAAGTTTGCTAATTTGATTAAATAACCCTAATATAAAAATTTTATAAAAAACAAAAACACCCCGTCACCCGCAGTGCCAGATTCTGGCCACCACCTCCGGAATCTGGCCGGAAAATGTGTTACGACATAGACCAGTCGGATCTGTGTCATAAGTGTCGATCTGGCATTTTTCGGCAAGATTTCGCCTCGATGGCCAGATTGGCCGTAGATCTTGCCTTCCGGACAGATCAGCCACGGATCTTGCCGAAAATGCCAGATCTACGCATTACGACAATATCCGACGGGTTTGTGTCGTAATGCAATTTTTCGGCCAGATCCCAGCTATGGTGGCCAGAACCTGGTACTGCGGGTGGCGGAGGTATTTTTGTTTTTTTATAAAAATTTTATATATTGGGGTATTAGTCAAATTAGCAAATCTAAGGGGTTTTTTAGAAATTTTTAAATTTATAAAAAACAAATATCAAAACTTTCAAGGGTATTTTAATATTTTTACTATTATCAAGTGAAAACTAAAAGAACATGACAGAAGGTACCTATTTATATTTCAAAACCTTTTAAGTATCAAATGTGTCGTTTCGCAAAATCTTGAGTATGCGTAAATCTTTCGGCCTAACTAATTATTGATGACATAAGCGTTTTCGAAAGGGGGTCAAGAATCAGTTTTTTTTGTTTGTTATAAAATTTGGAAATGGGACAAAGGGAATTGATGTTAGTATTGAAATTAAGTTGTATCAAAATAAATACTTCATTTATTATTGTAGAAAAGAAATCAAATTATTCCACGTCAATCAATTGCTATTACTCTTGAATATTGACTTTGTCATAAATGAGACAAATATTTATTCAACAAATATGAAAAACAGATAAGAACATTTGTCTTCTTGAAAACTTGATATTTACAAATCAAAACCAAAATATTAAGAAACAGAACACGAAATCGAAAACCTCAGAAAATGGGTATCGAAGACACTTGTCATAAATGTATTATAGGGATTGGGATAAGCATATCTTGTAGCTAATAGTAAAATCTTGTAGATGCATACTAAGCTAAGCGTCATATCACTGAATATTGATGGGTTGGGACCATAGTGTAAAATATCATTCTATTATATTTTTTTGAATGATCGGGAGTGTTGGAGTCAGCTTACGCGCATCTCAGCTAATCTTCAGAGCCCTGAAATTGATAATCGGGTAAATCTTTAGTATGTCACCTCTATTAGCTATCCAAGTAGATCGAATTTATGACATCTTAAATAATATATTAAAAAATCATAATTAATCGCTGAACTGCTCATTTTTATTGCCCTCATCTGTTTGATATAATATGAAAGAAATAATTAAATAATATATATATACAGCTTCAACTCTAACATAAATTTCAGCAACCATAATGCTGCCATGTGATTGTTCACCAACAGGTCACATTTATCACCTTCAATCAATTTTCCTTCGAGGAGTTGCCGAATTCAAAAACGAATACAATGTTCTTGGATTCTAATATAATTTTTAGCTTAAAAAAATAAAATTAAAAGAAAGAAAGATTTTCTCATAATCTAAATAGAAAATTGAGATAAAAAATCGTCTCAACCCTACACGGTCAGAAAAAACTTTAAAAAGTTTATATTGACTTTCTCAAAAAACACGAGCCTTACGGTTTTGTTTTCAGGCTTCAATTGTCATCCTCGAAGAGTGGGACTTTTTCATAACAACATTACACAAATTTATCATTATTTAGACTTTTATAGAGAGATAATATTTATAAATTGTGTGCAATGCATCATGCATGGATGATAAGGCCCCAACAACATGCTTTGAACATGAAAAGAGGGAGCATTGATGGGCGCATTTCAATTGCTTTGTTTTTTACTCCATTTTATGGGCCGAACAACTTACACACCCAAGGTTTGCCGTACTGATAAATTGATACCCAAAAGGTTTGAAAATAACAAACTGATACTTTCCATCATGTGCTGTTACTGATTTTCATTTGCAAGGATAATACAATAATTTTATGTACAATCACAAACTTTATTTGAGAAATATTAGTCTATTTTTAATTTATTTTTAGACCTGTTAATTGAATTGCTGTCTTATTCCCTTTCCAAGATTTTCCTTTTCTGTCTTTGACCATTTTTTCCGATGCAATGAAAGTGGATATTTTGACAAGGCCAGTCTGTACTTAGAAACATGAGAATTTTCTGATGGGCCATAGTGAATAGCAGAGGACTTTTTATCAATAACCTGTGGCATAAAATTTATCCTCAGTTAAATTTAAGACCCTAAAAGCCAAGCCAACAAAAAGAAAAAACTAGCTAGACATCTAATCTGAACACCTCAGTAAGCCTGAAGCAACCTTGTAATGCGATCAGTAGGCAAAAATGATCAAACAAAATATATTCCAATAAGAGAGTGAAAAAGGAAAACATAATGATTATTTAAAAAGGAAAAGAGAGAGAGATTTATAAACTATAAACTTTCTATTTATATTGTGAGGGGTAAGAAGATACAACTTTGGAAGATAAGAAATTGATATTAAAAATAACATGAAGCCTACAATATTGAGATCAACCAACAATTATAACTGGGAGGAGAAGAAGAAAAGCACATTACTCTATTTGTTTCCTTAAATGTCAAATGAGGTTAAAATTTAGACAATTCTTGTGAGGTTTGCAAATATTATGAAACTGCAATATTGTTTTGATAAACCATATAAATAAAATTGTTGCAAATCATTATCTGATCCTTAAAAAAATGACTCAAATCAACGTAGACATTGTTCATGAATATTATCACCACACTACTCAGGAGGCTTGGCCAGTGCCTTTTGGTACACTACACCAATAAAAAAGTATTTACGCCTTTTACCCTACGAGTAAAATAACATGCTTTGAATTTATAAATACCTTAATGAAAGTATACCACTCCTTAGACTATCTTTATTTTCAAAATCACACTGTCTGAGCAACCCCCACGTTCCTCAAAATCCAGAGTTGGGCTTTCCTATCCATGGGTCAGAGGCTCTTTATTTATCCACCTCATAGCACACTCTAACAAAGTTTGCAATTAATTACAACTCCAAATTTAAACTTTTCATATTAAAGACAGCGAATAGGAATCTATCTTAGATGTCCAAGCTGTACTTATTGAAAGTATTTGATACAGAGGTCATGTAGTACAACCGAAAAGACAAACTTAGAATGTCAACTAGATAGAAAATGAGTAATTTACCTCTGGGTCATTAGAATTCCTTAACTTCTGCGATGAAATTAATTGGACATGAGGATCCTTCTTCTGGGATAATGCTCGACCAGTTATTTTTCTGCAAGAAACCTGAAAGTCTTTCAGAATTTTTACACGTTCTTTCAATTTCTTGTTCTCCTCTATTCTTGATTCAATCTGAGTCAACTTACTTCGGATAAAATTCTGATAGGACCTATTCTTCTTAATGGCATCAATAAACACCTGAGCAGATTTTGGGAAGTTAGAATCCTTTTGTGACACAATAGACATATTATATTCTTCAGACTGTTGCCACTGACTGGAACAAGAAGGCAGTGTCTCCACATTGTCCTTCAATAAATGGTGGTTGTTACAAGCTTCTTCAGAATCTGGAAACCCTTCACAAGCATTAATTCTATTTACAAATAAATTATTGGAAGTCTCATTCTCTGATGCTACACTAGATGCAAGAACCTGATTTGGAGTCTGTAAAGAATCCTTCCTCCTGCTTTTTGTAGTATCTACATTAAAATTTTCAAAAACTGGTGTAAGGGTAAAGGAATTTGAGGAGTTTAAAAGCGGTCATATATACTGTTATAAAGTCCCAAGTGCAAATACACACAAAAAACAAACATACAAGGAGAGAGAGAGTATCTCTTATTGAGAAAACAAATCATAAGAAACTTGAACTTCATCTAACCATGAAAACTACAATAGACAAACAAAAGTGAAGGAATAAGCAAGGAAGATAATCTAGTTTTATGGCCTCGATTAGAAATAAGGCTATATACAAGGCTGCTAATCTGATAATTTTGGCATAGATATTTCAGAGGTCTTTTCAATGTGGTCTTTACTTCGTTTCTCTCAGTCACATTTCCAAACGTTGTGACTAATAATTAGCTTCATAAATTTCTACTAGGGAGTGCTATTGCTGTTGTAATTATAAGAAAGAATAATACCACACATACAAACTCTTGTATACAAATTAATGTGGCACACTGGGAATGAAGAAGTCAACTCAAAAAATATGGATAAACTCATAAAAGAGTAATGCCTTGTATATGTAGCATTACTCTTCAAGAAGCCAGTGGCTTGAATAAAGTGCATGCGAGAATGATAAGATAAAGATAACCTCAAATTTTTACTTGAATGTCTAATTGCCTTCTCCTAAATTTCATCTACTAAGCAATTTAAATTCATTTCATCACCTCTAGATAAAAAAAATTACCTCTTCTTTATTTACCTTTCCTTTATTCGTTCACTCCTATCATCAGCCAAGAGAAAACATGAAAAAACTATTACCAATTCGACTAATTCACAAAATAATAATAATAATAATAATAATAATATACGCCTACCAAAACATATATTTAAGAACATTCTAAGCTTACCAGCTGAATTATAAGCTGAAAAGCGCCTCTGAATAATGCGAAGAGTCTCGAAATCATCCTCTTCATCATCGTCCGAAAGAACCGGTGGAAGCGTACACAAAGCCTTCAAAGACAAAGGCTGGCACGAATCATCCGATAACGCCAACCGGTTCTGAATTTTCCGGACCAATTCAAGATCCTCTTCGCCATCGGAACTCCAGAAACCTGCATCGGCGCCGCCAGAGGAATCGGCTCCGACAGTCAGTTGAAGTTTGTCGCTGTTATCGAGGTCGTTGGGATCGGTGTCTGTGATCATACAGGCTCTCCTTATAGCTTCCCTTTCCTCCTCATCAAAACCTTCGTCATTCTCGCTGTCAGAGAATTCCTCTCCGTCGTCTTCATCGCGAGGTGGCATTATGTTAGGGAGAGAAAAAATTTCTTCTTCCTTTTTACCGTTTTATGGAAAGAGCTGTTAGGGTTTTTCATAAACGGTGGAATTTAAGAAGTGGCGGTTGCTCTGGTTTATAGTATTTGGTGGAGAGATAAACGGCCGGGTCGGCTAAAACATACCCGGTTAGTTATTCGGGCTTTTTGATGGGCTCGGTCCTGGTCTTTCTTTTTCTACACACAATGTCAGGCCCATAAATGAGGGTTGGTTTGTTTTTTGGGCTTTAAGTTTTAATGTACGAAAAATTACGTGGACACCCCTAATGTTTGGGAAAAATACCTCCTCGTCCATTAGTAGTTTAGTACCATAAATTTTGTAAAAACAAATGTATGTTGTGACCTGAAGTCCCACGTTGCTCCCGTGTGAGAATAACTGTGTGTTTGAATAGGCTAATAGGCCTATACTTAATTGTATGCGTCTTGGGCTTAAAGCCTAATAAAAAAACTGTGAAGTCTTATAGTGCTAAAACAAATAATATCTACTCGTCTAACCTAAAAGACCTATATTTAGTAGATGCATTCTTGGGCCCTAAAGCCCAAGAACAAAACCATGAGGTCCGGTAGTAGTAGACACCTTTTGGGTTTGAAGCCTTTAACAAAATTGTTAGGCCTTGTAGTAGTAAACGCGTTTTGGGCTTGAAGCTTAGAATAAAATCGCGAGGCCTTATAGTAATAGACGCGTTTTGGGCTTCAAGCCTAGAAACTCAATAATAGTAGACACATTTTGGGCTTAAAGTCTATAACAAAATCGTGAAGCCTCGTAGTAGCCGACACGTTTTGGGCTTGAAACCCAAAAATAAAACTGTGAAGACTTATAGTGCCAAAACGAACAATATCTACTCAACTATTTACAATAATGTAGAATAAATAGAATATAATAAATTCATAGTTTCGGAACCCACATAAATCCTACAAATAAGTTAGGTTTATATGGTGCAACGGAAATTAAATACAACCTTACCCTTAAAATAATATAAAATTGATGGGTTATCTATATATGAGACCAATAAATGCAACAAAACCAATGAGTTATTATGGTTGTAACTTATAAGTTGGTATCCAAAAAGTTTTGAAACGACAAATAGGTACCTTCCGTCATGTTCTGTTAGTGATTTTCGTTTGCTAATAGTGAAAAGACTAGAATGCCCTTAAAGGTTTGATATTTTAGTTTTTTATAAATTTAAAAATTTCTAAAAAATCCCCTAAGTTTGCTAATTTGATTAAATACCCTAATATATAAAAATTTTATAAAATAACAAAAACACCCCCGTCACCCGCAGTGCCAGATTCTGGCCACCACCTCCGGAATCTGGCCGGAAAATTGTGTTACGACATAGACCAGTCGGATCTGTGTCATAACGTGTCGATCTGGCATTTTTCGGCAAGATTTCGGCCTCGATGGCCAGATCTGGCCGTAGATCTTGCCTTTTCCGGACAGATCAGCCACGGATCTTGCCGAAAAATGCCAGATCTACGCATTACGACATATATCCGACGGGTTTGTGTCGTAATGCAATTTTTCGGCCAGATCCCAGCTATGGTGGCCAGAACCTGGTACTGCGGGTGGCGAGGGTATTTTTGTTATTTTATAAAAATTTTATATATTGGGGTATTTAGTCAAATTAGCAAATCTAAGGGGTTTTTTAGAAATTTTTAAATTTATAAAAAACTAAAATATCAAACTTTCAAGGGTATTTTAATATTTTTACTATTATCAAGTGAAAATCACTAACAGAACATGACAGAAGGTACCTATTTATCATTTCAAAACCTTTTAAGTATCAACTTGTCGTTTCGCAAAATCTTGAGTATGCGTAAATCTTTCGGCCTAACTAATTTATTATGATGACATAAGCGTTTTCGAAAGGGGGTCAAGAATCAGTTTTTTTTGTTTGTTGATAAAATTTGTGGAAATGGGACAAAGGGAATTGATGTTAGTATTTGAAATTAAGTTGTATCAAAATAAATACTCTCATTTATTATTGTAGAAAAGAAATCAAATTATTCCACGTCAATCAATTGCTATTACTCTTGAATATTGACTTTGTCATTAAATGAGACAAATATTTTATTCAACAAATATGAAAAACAGATAAGAACATTTGTCTTCTTGAAAACTTGATATTTACAAATCAAAACCAAAATATTAAAGAAACAGAACACGAAATCGAAAACCTCAGAAAATGGGTATCGAAGAACCACTTGTCATAAATGTATTATAGGGATTGGGATAAGCATATCTTGTAGCTAATAGTAAAATCTTGTAGATGCATACTCAAGCTAAGCGTCAATATCACTGAATTATTGATGGGTTGGGACCATAGTGTAAAATATCATTCTATTATATTTTTTTGAATGATCGGGAGTGTTGGAGTCAGCTTACGCGCATCTCAGCTAATCTCTCAGAGCCCTGAAATTGATAATCGGGTAAATCTTTTCAGTAGTCACCTCTATTAGCTATCCAAGTAGATCGAATTTATGACATCTTAAATAATATATTAAAAAATCATAATTAATCGCTGAACTGCTCATTTTTATTGCCCTCATCTGTTTGATAATATATTGAAAGAAATAATTTAAATAATATTATATATACAGCTTCAACTCTAACATAAATTTCAGCAACCATAATGCTGCCATGTGATTGTTCACCAACAGGTCACATTTTATCACCTTCAATCAATTTTCCTTCAGAGGAGTTGCCGAATTCAAAACGAATACAACTGTTCTTGGATTCTAATATAATTTTTAGCTTAAAAAAATAAAATTAAAAGAAAGAAAGATTTTCTCATAATCTAAATAGAAAATTGAGATAAAAAATCGTCTCAACCATACACGGTCAGAAAAAACTTTAAAAAGTTTATATGGACTTTCTCAAAAACACGAGCCTTACGGTTTTGTTTTCAGGCTTCAATTGTCATCCTCGTAAGATGTGGGACTTTTTCATAACAACATTACACAAATTTTATCATTATTTAGACTTTTATAGAGAGATAATATTTATAAATTTTGTGCAATGCATCATGCATGGATGATAAGGCCCCAACAACATGCTTTGAACATGAAAAGAGGGAGCATTGATTGGGCGCATTTCAATTGCTTTGTTTTTTACTCCATTTTATGGGCCGAACAACTTACACCTACCCAAGGTTTGCCGTACTGATAAATTGATACCCAAAAGGTTTGAAAATAACAAACTGATACTTTCCATCATGTGCTGTTACTGATTTTCATTTGCAAAAGGATAATACAATAATTTTATGTACAATCACCAAACTTTATTTGAGAAATATTAGTCTATTTTTAATTTATTTTTAGACCTGTTAATTTTATTAATTTTATCAAATACCCCTAGAAAAATTAACAAAAACACCCCCATCCACCCATACTTGCCAGATTCCGGCAACCACCGCCGGTGGTAACCGGAATCTATCACAACGGTCTACACCACCACTGAAAATTACTGAGAAATGACGATCAACAATGGTAAAATCTTAGCCATCTCTGACAGGCAACGACAACCACACCTTTGGCTGTCGTTGATAGCCAAAAATGGACCTTTGCGACAGTCAATGGCCACATTTGATCTCAGATCTCGCCTTTTTCGGCCATACCGGTGGTGGATCTGGTCGGAAAAGGCCATATTGACACGTTACGACATAGATCCGACCAGATTCAGGTGGTGATAGCCGGAATCTAGCACTGTGGGTGGTGGAAGTGTGTTTGTCATTTTACAAAATTTTTATATATTGTGGTATTTAGTTAAATTAGAAAACCTAGAGGGTTTTTTATAAATTTTTAAATTTATTAAAGACTAAAATATTTAACTTTCAAGAGCATTCTAGCACATGGGGGAAGGTACCTATTTATTATTTTTAAACTTTTTGGGTATCAATCGTTATTACATAAAACCTTGGTTACCACCCCCCTTCTTCTTCTTTTTTATGCCCTCTTTTCTTGTGTCGAGAGATAGACACGTTCCACTAAACAACAAAGCACCTTTATATGTAAGGTCCTGCTTATCCTTTGACATAAAAATATCTCATATCTTTAATTATTGAGTGAACTTTAATAATAGGAGGATAAAATGTAATTAAAGTAATAAATGAGGGGTAAAAAGTAATTGTACAACTCTAATCTCATCAACTTTATTCTATAAAACCAGCTCTACACAGGGAGTTCACATTAGAGGAAAAGTTCACACACAAAACAGCCATGGCTTTCTTCTCTCTTTCCTTCTTCAAAATCCATCCTCAACTCTCCAAAATAGTTGCTAAGATGACTTTCTTTGACGCTCTGCTCTTTTATGTTAGCACAAACTCTTTCTCTTTCTCTCTTAATAAATTTCTTTTGAACTAGAATTCTCTTTTGCCTGATGATCAACTGTTTATTTGTGTATGTGTTTTATAGATTGTACATTTGGTGGACAAGCTGGATTTGTGGCACAGGCTGCCAGTGTTACTGGGGCTGGCGTACATGGGGATCAGAAGGCACTTGCATCAACGTTACAATCTCTTGCATGTTGGGGAAATCAACGGCCAGAAATATGATACAGAGGAGTTTTGTTATCGGACGGCAGATGGAAAGTGCAATCACCCTAGTGATGATACTGTTGGCAGCCAGGGAACCTTCTTTGGCCGCAACATGCCACCGTCTTCTTCAGCTTATGGGGTAAGCAACAGCAAGCTCCTCAAACTTAATTAAGATGAATAGCGTTTCATGTGAGTGTTAAATTTATTTACTGTGAGATTTTTGTTTCCCATTGACAACTGGCTAGCGCTATTAAAGAAACATATCGTGGAAGACTGAAAAAAGGTGAAACTTAAGAGTTAAGATAGAAAATCTTGTATTGGAAGTAAAAAGAAAGAGAAAATTGACTGGAAACAACACGTAACTAGGGCAATTAAAAGCAGTACAAAGAACAGATAATGCATGAGGAATTGAATAATGAAGCAGAAGAGTGAAGTGTTCAGAGAGTGTCCATGCGCTGACCACATCTCACAACTCTGAACCCACTTTTGCATTTAAAACATTAGCCTTGGGATCTCCTACATAACGACAGCAGGGCAGTCACCCATTTTTATATGTCTAGAACAAGTTTTCTTAAGAATCAAGACCTGTCTGCAAAATTCTGTACAAAAATGTAGAAAGGAAGAGTCTCAAATTAATCTGTGATTGATTAATTTTTCAAAATACAGTTGCTGGATCCTCACCCAACAGTGGTAGCCACAAAGCTTTTGGCAAGGAAAAAGTACATAGATAATGGGAAGCAATTCAACATGATAGCTTGCTCTTGGATACAGTTCATGATTCATGACTGGATTGATCATTTGGAGGACACCAAACAGGTATTAATTCATTTGCATACACTAATTCAATTCTGAATTTGGAAACAATTCTGAATTGTTAATCTGCATACATGATTCATTACAGGTGGAACTCACAGTTCCTGAAGATATTGCAAGTAGTTGTCCAATGAAGTCATTCAAGTTCTTCAAGACCAAAAGGGTCCCCACTGCTTCACTTGATATGAATATTGGCTCTCTAAATACAAGAACTCCTTGGTGGTAATCATTTATATATGATTCTATAAGTTAATTAACTTGTAGTTATGGCAAGGTATATTAATTCTCTGTGTTTGGTATTTTAATTATTAACTTCTTCTGGCTTGAGCAGGGATGGCAGTGTAATTTATGGAAATAACGATGAAGGCATGAGAAGGGTGAGGACATTCAAAGATGGGCACTTGAGGATAACAAGAGATGGACTTCTTGATCATGATGAGAAAGGGATTCCTATTTCAGGTGATGTTAGAAATTGCTGGGCAGGCTTTTCCCTTTTACAAGCCTTGTTTGTCAAAGAGCACAATGCTGTATGTGATATGCTCAAAGTAAGTTATCATTTTTTATTTCTTATGCGTCTGTTGTTGAAAACAATGTAAACGAGAATCCAAATGCAACTTTTTTAGCTGATAAATTACTGAATTGCTTTCTGGTTGATTGATTTTTAGGAGAATTACCCTGATTTTGATGACGAGAAGCTCTATCGACATGCAAGATTGGTGACTTCGGCTGTCATTGCTAAAGTTCACACCATTGATTGGACTGTAGAACTTTTAAAAACTGATACTCTTCTGGCAGGAATGAGGCTCAATTGGTAAGACTCTTTGTGGAATATTGATTTAGTCTAGTGTAAAAGGGAAAAAAAAAAATCCTGTTCAACTGTTTATGCAGCTATATTGGTAACATTATACCATATTGTAAGTAATTGTTGTTCAAATCTGAGAGTATATATGCAGATTTTGTGATTCTCTTATGTTAATAGCTGTGCAAATTTATGCATTGTCTTTGTGCAGGTATGGGTTACTTGGAAAGAAATTTAAGGATTTATTTGGGCCTATTTTGGGACCAATACTAACTGGATTGGTTGGTCTTAAGAAGCCAAGAGATCATGGAGTTCCGTATTCTCTTACAGAGGAGTTTGTCAGTGTATACAGAATGCATTGCCTTCTACCTGACGAACTCATAATAAGGGATATCAAATCCACAGAGCCGGAATATGAAAGCCCTCCTATACAAGAAGAGTAATTCTCTTTTACTTCTCTCACTCTGTGCGCTTACTCACTCGTGTGAGTGCATGAATAGATCAGAATTCACAATATTCTTTTATTCATGCAAATGAAATACAAGTACCTGTGAGATATAAGTCATCTGCATTTTCAAATTCATTAACTGCTACTGATATATTTCTAGGGTGCCTATGAAGGAAATGGCAGGAAAAGAAGGCGAGAGAAGGCTGTCAAAAATTGGAATGGAGCAAATGATGGTATCAATGGGTCACCAGTCATGTGGAGCTCTCACATTATGGAACTATCCATCATGGATGAGAGACCTTGTTGTTCATGATATCAATGGGGAGGATAGACCAAATCGAGCTGATATGGCTGCCTTAGAAAGTAATTAATCAAGATATCCATACTTGAGCTTCTCTTTTGTTTCTCTTTAGCCTTAAGTTAATACTAATTAAATTGTTGTAATAATCAGTCTATAGAGACAGGGAGAGGGGAGTTGCTCGGTACAATGAATTCAGAAGAAATTTATTGATGGTTCCTATAAGCAAGTGGGAAGATCTAACAGATGATGAAGAAATCGTTAAAGCTCTCCGCGAAGTATATGGAGATGATATTGAGAAACTTGATCTGCTTGTAGGCTTACATGCCGAGAAGAAGATCAAAGGCTTCGCGATAAGTGAGACAGCTTTCTTTATCTTTCTCCTAATTGCATCAAGGTAAATTTTGTTTATTTTGCATCCTGTGATTAGGATTTTATGTTAACTTCCTTGTGCTGAAAGATAACCAATGGTGTTCAGGAGGTTAGAAGCTGATAGGTTTTTCACCACCAACTTCAATTCCCAAACATACACAGAGAAAGGCCTGGAATGGGTTAACAAGACTGAGACTTTGAAAGATGTTATCGATCGCCATTTCCCTGACATGACGAGAAAATGGATGAGATGTTCAAGCGCATTTTCAGTCTGGGATTCTGAACCTAATCCGAAAAACTATATCCCTCTGTATCTCCGACCGGCCACCTGATCAGTACTGTTTGAAGTTTTGATGACAATGTCAGTAGCCTTCTTGTAGAATTTGCGTATGTATGTATGTATATGTAGCTTTCAGGATACTAAAAGGCCATAGCATTTGTTGTATGCCAGATACTCTTAATAAAATTCAATCTTATTTCTATCCACATCTCTCACCAATCTTAAAGATACAATTATCATGGAGCTTCCTTGAAGGTCAAGGAGGTCAATAAAAATTATGGGGAGGTTATTGAGAATTTTAGAACTACAGAGGAGTAGTAAGATTATATGAAAACTTAGGTAGGTTTCAAAAATTATCCATTTGGGAAGAGGCGCGGGGACAATGCACGGTAGAAAAAATTCAATCCCACTTCACTTGGCGGTAAAATAAGACTGAAAGAAGGAAATTACCAAACTGTCCTAAACATAGACTAAATGTTTAAGGGTGTTTTAATTAGCCGCCGCCATTTGCAATTCTTCCCGCCATTTTCTCGGCTTAATATTTATTCGTATATTTTACATATAAACCAAAGCAAAATTACAACCTAGAAATAGAGTAAAATCATCACAAATAATGGGCATAAAAGATCTTCTCAGATTCATGAAACCTTACATTAAACCCATTCACATCAAGAAATATGCTGGGAAGCGGGTCAGTTTAAACCCTGAATCATTTCTTTGTTGCATTTGCTTTTCATTCGATTTGATATCAATTTTTTTTTCTTTTTTTTTTTTTTTTGGGAAAAAAAATCATTCTGGGTTTATTTGCAGGTGGGTATTGATGCATATTCATGGCTTCACAAAGGAGGTAATGGTTTTTTTTCCTTCTTTTTACAGGGGGTTTTGGTTACAATGTAGATTTATTAGTTTTGGAAATTTTAAAAATTTATCAGAAATCTTGAAGAAAAGTGTCTGAGATTTGTTTGTTCTTGAGAAATTTTGCAGCATATTCATGTAGCATGGAGCTTTGTTTAAATTCAAAGAGTGAAAGGAAATACCAATACTTGAATTATTTTATGCATCGAATTAATCTTCTTCGACACTATAATATTACACCGGTGGTTGTGTTTGATGGTGGAAACATTCCATGTAAGGCTGTCACGGAGGACGAGAGGCACAGGCATGTAGTTCACATACTTTGTTTTGTTTTGTTTTTTTTCCTTTTGCGCTTTACCCCCTGTGAAATTTTAGGAGGTGGCATTTAATGTGGTTTTGTTGATTGTTTAGGAGAAGAGAAGCTAATCGTGATTTGGCTATGGAAAAACTTAAACAAGGAAATGTTAAAGCTGCTTCTGAGCTCTTCCAGGTAATTAATTCATAGTGAATCGTTTATAATGAATTGCATCTCGGTGTTTCTGATGACTATGATATTTTTTGTTTTTGGATAAGAGTCTAGATTAATTACACTGCGACAATATCTAATTAGGCCATATGAACACAATGTTAATGTGTTTCATAGCTTTTAAAAGGGTCTGAATGTAGACAATATACTGCTTTTTGTTCAACATTTCTCTAGGAAGAAATTGTTCTCTTGTAGTATTAGGTTTCAGAAATTTAATAGTTGTGAATTCTTATGTTTGATTTTTTTAAACTTGTAGAGAGCAATTAGCATCACTCCAGCCATGGCTCATCAACTGATTCAGGTATTGAGAACAGAGAACATTGAATTTGTGGTAGCCCCATATGAGGCTGATGCTCAGTTGGCATACCTGTCCAGTCTTGAAGTAGAGAAAGGTGGAATTGCGGCTGTGATTACTGAAGACAGTGATCTAATAGCTTATGGTTGCCAAGCTGTAAGCACTTCCATGAAACTTTGATACAGTGAAGATGGAGGTCTCTTGCTCTCCTGATGACTTCATCTTCTTTGTTTCTTATTGAAGTTGTTTTGATTTGCATTGCCTGCCAACAGACTGTGTTTAAGATGGATAGACATGGCAATGGCGAAGAGCTTCTGCTAGACAATGCTTTTGAATCAAGTAATGGTACACCATCCTTCAGGAATTTTGATCAGGAATTATTTATAGGTGAGATCAATGAGACACCAAAAACTTCATTTAGTTTCTGTTTCTTGTGATGATCATTGCCCTGCATTTTCACAGTGATCTGTAAATGTTCCTCTTCTTTTGCAAGTCATGAAATTTGTTTCACTAATGGTCAAATAGAAAGTAGAAACATATTCTCTATTACATTTTCACATTTCATGAGAAACACAATACTTTTATCCTTTTATTGACACAGTGAATTGAGAACTGGCTTATGTTGCCATATTTCCACAGGCATGTGTGTGCTGGCTGGCTGTGATTTCCTTCCTTCAGTTCCTGGAATTGGTATTGCAAAGGCATATTCAATGGTTTCCAAATACCGAAACTTAGATCGTGTACGTATCTCTAAACCTCTTCAAGAGAAGATATAAACTGAATAGGGTGTGCCGCAGGGCTCTTTTTCATAACTACTATTAAAGGATCATCAACATTTGACATGTATCTAAGAATGTGCAGATGTGAATATCCTGGAGGTTTTCCTTTCCAACATGTTTTATTTTTTAAAACTTAATGATCTGAAAAGGTTGAATTTTTCTGGAAATGTTTTGAAGGCTATCGGAGTTCTTTGATAAAATGCATATGATTTCATTAATTGTTAATTACATCACTCAGAACTCCAGGTTTACAATCTCATGTCATTACTTGGAAGTTATTGCTAGAATGGCTTCATTTACAGGTTTTGTCAGTTTTGAAGATTGATAAGGGTTGTCAAGTGCCTGAAGATTACTCCAAATCATTCAGAGAAGCAGTTGCAGTATTCCAGCATGCCCGAATGTATGTAAAGTGCAATATTTAGGCTAGTTCAATAACCCAGTGCTTGAATTTTAGAATCATTTTGCTTATATTTGATGTATTGACTTTAAACATTATTTCTAGATATGACGGTGACGCTAAGAAGCTTACACACATTAAACCTCTTCCACAAGAGCTTCTGGAGTCTCTAGCTGGAGAGCTTGATTTTCTTGGCCCGTATCCTTTTTAATCAAATAGTGTCTTGGATTTTTAGTTCAAATTAACTGTTTTCCATTGTTAGCATTTGATGCCAAGCCATGTTCATTTGCCTGTTGCCGCCCAGACGCCACTTTTCGTTCTTAGACATTGGCATTGATACTGCAATTTAGTTAAATCTTAAAACTACAATAAGCAATATTATTTTTTCTTGACCGTGGTGAATTATATCAGAGAAATCCCTCCATCAGTAGCTGCTGCAATTGCTGAAGGACACTTAGACCCGGTAAACATGGAGGCTTTTAATTGTTCTCCAAATTCTGAATATCGTCATGGTCATGCTGCAATCCAAACTTCTAAGAAACTCCAGAAGCCTGAAATTACTACGGAAACTGGGTTTATGGTATTTTCTTCACAAAAGACCATGGAAGAAATTACAGGCAAGGTCTTTAACCCAAGGTCTTCTTTAATAACAGAAATGTGTATCTTGTGTTTCTTTAAAATATAATTATCAGTGGCTCACTATGTTATAGTTTTCAGTTGTAGATACTCAAATGAAGCAGTATCCGGTTTCATCTAAAAGGATGTATTTCAATGAAGGCACAGCTCTCCAGAAATTAGTTTCGCCATTACAAAGTCAGGAAACAGTTGAAAATACAGTGGTTTCTGATGACCTTCCATTGAAGGTTCCGGACAATAACCCATTCAAGAAAAGGAAACTTGATGAGATTCACTTTAACCCATTAACGAGCATTAGTAAAGAAGATCTAGTTGTGACTGGGGATGAAAAGTTGGAATTCTTGTGTGCAACTCCTGATTGTATTCTACCAAAGGTTTCTGAAAACATCCATCCTAGGAAACGAACACATAATGGAAGTCACTTGGATCAGAGAGAAGACGCTGCTGCACAAGTTTCTGTGGTGACTGAGGTGATAAGTTCTAACTTGTTTGATACAAAGCAATCACAAGAAAGTGTGAATTCAAAGCCTAAAAGGTTCTCTAAAGGGAAACAGAGAAGTAAAACTAAGAAGACAGAAACTAGTAATAGCAACAATTCTGTAAATAAGAGTACCAGTATCTTGAATTTCTTTTCTCGAGTGTAATCTTTTAATTCTTCAAGTTATTTATAATGAATGATTATCCAATTTTTTGCGGCTACTGGAGCATTTTTGCAGTTTTATTAAGTTGGTAAGCCATGTTGCAGTTGCAGAGGAAAGCAAAAACAAAAGGCAAAATAACCATAAATTATCTAGGAGATTTATTAGTCTGATAAGGGGACATGTTTTTTTCACCACTTGAACAACTAAAACATGAAAACATTCAAGCTACTTAATGCTTGTTTCTTTTAAGTAGTTGTTTAAACCAATAGGCAGACATCTTCGGATACCTCTTCAGATTGGTGTAGTCAACATAGACAATGCCGAACCTTGCAGTGTAGCCCAATCTCCATTCAAAATTGTCAAGCAACGACCATGCAAAGTAGCCAACAACATTTGCTCCATCATCAGCAGCCTTCTTCAGCTGAGTCAAATATCCCTTGTAAAAGTTGATCCTTGTGGTATCATGTAATCCTTGCCTGAGAGTGACATTTCCTGGATCATCCATGCCTGCTTAACGCATAGCAACAATATAACAGTCAAACCGGTTGATTTTGTTTTCTCTTCACACTTGCATAAACCCAGCAAAACCTTCTAGGATTTGATACAACATAAAAACAACATTTATTGATTCATACCATTTTCGGACAAAATGACGGTAGGGTTCTTGTAGTGCTCTTTTATGTACATTAAAGCCTTGTACATTCCCCAAGGTACATTGTAGAGCCAATAAGAATTTGCCTGCAAATGTTCAATTCATCATAAAATGAAACTAAACTTATGATTTCTGCATTAACAAGTGATAAAACACGTAATGGGGAAAGAAATTACTCTTGGACCAATTGGTACTCCATGTTTCACATCTGCAAAGTTCACAAGAAACTAATGTTTAGCAATAGGAGCAGGTCAGCCACAATACAGAATTTCATTCTTTTGTTTTTTTCCCAAGAGAAAGAGATAGAAATCTTACAAGCAAATCCAGCATTCCAATCCTGCTGATAGCCCAAGTTCTTTGAATTTTTTTTAAGTGGATCATACATGTAGTATGTGGTATATTGGTTAATTCCCACAAAATCTATTGATCCCTTAACCATGTTAACCTCTTCTTTGGTGAACTTGGGTAGCCTTTTGCCAACTATATTTTGCATTGTTTTCGGGTACTCACCATAAGTAAGAGGATGTATAAACCTACAAGAGGCCAGCCATTGTCACATACTTTTGTGATTCTATTTGAATTTCTACGTTTATTAATAATGTTTTCAGTGAATTCATGCAATCTTGTTTGAATTTCCTGGGCTTATACAATTCCCAAACTATTCTAAGAATGAGAAAAATAGATTTTAAAAACAGGCCTATCATCAACAGTAGATCCTCATACATCTACAGCTATGGTCAAAAGTATTTGATCACAAGTCTAAGTTATCTATGAAAAGGCACAAAATATTTTACCATCCAACATGAAAATCTCTTGCTCTTTGCGCTGCATAGTTGTCTGCCTTTGATCTTGTAAGAGGTTCATACCAAACAAAATCCAAGAGAATTCCAATCCTTCCCTTCTGCTTTTTCTGAAATTGTACACATTTCATAAATTAAGATATGTAATAGCATGTTCTGAAGAAATAAATTAATACCATTTGACTCGATAAAAGATAGTAATTGCTAATATTACCTGATACTTTTCACGGTATCTTTGAACTGCAGCTCCATGGGATAAAATCAAATTATGGGCAGCAATATAAGGCTCTGTTGCAGAATTGCCAACTGTACAATTGCCAAATGCTTTTGAACACCTCCCAGGAGCAAAGAAGCCGTTGTCATAACCAAGAGCAGCCACCACTCTAGGTTCATTAAATGTCATCCAATTCTTTACTCTGTCTCCAAATGTCTTGAAGCAAAAATCCGCATAATCAGCGAAGTCTTTCCTATATAGTTTGAAACATTTACCCAAAACTTAGATCTAACAAAACAAGATCTAATTCATTGACATTAAAACTCGATAGATATTTGTGTGCATGCAGGAGTGCATAGAATCTCATTCCTCTAAGGAGTACCATTAAAGTATGAGGTTTGTCAACAAAAGTTACCACTAGTCTTATCACTTACACCACTTTCTCACTAAGCAATCCATTGTACTTCTTCTCAAGTGCTTCTGGAAGATCATAGTGATAAAGATTTGCATATGGAGTAATACCTACAAAGATTTGCAAGGTATGAAGGTCTAGTACTCGATAAAAGAATTGAAACTAAAATAAGTTTCACTGGCATAATGTTCATTGAGCTTTACCTTTTTGGAGCAAGTAGTTAATCAACCTATTGTAGTATGCAACTCCCTTCCAATTAACTTTTCCAGCTCCATCTACATCAAAAATGGGATGGAGCGAAGGTTAAGGCTGGCGATTATTTTAGTTTTCATGTTAACAAATCAATAAAGCTGATAAAAATCATTACCTGGGAAAATTCTGGACCATGAAATTGAGAACCGGTATGCATCAAAATTCAGATTTGCCATGATATCAACATCCTCCTGAAACAGCACAAGTGGATTCTAGATTTTCACATGTAGAACAAACAAGCCACATATATTACTATTATTGTTAGTGCTGTCAAAATTTGATGTAGCCCCAGAAACACAATCTAACAACAAATATGTTTTTTAGAGTAACATTTCAAAATTTATCAGTTCTTTAAATCATATTTTTTGTTTTGAACAGAGCAATACAAGAGAAGTTGATTTTACAGTTACATTAGAAAGATTACAGATTAATTAGTGATATTAATAAACATCACTAAGATGCTTTTAAGGGTCTTTTGTTAAAGCCCTACTGAGGTTAAATGCTTTGCTTTTTTCATATAAATACTTCAAAAGCACTTTATAGAACATCCCACAAAGTGCTTTTAGAAGTATTTAAAGAATCTTTATTACTAAAAAGTAGATCCTTTTAGATACACTTGTCTTGAAAAGGTACTACTGACCATTCAAAAGCAAATAAAACAAAATGATGATCACGGGGTCTCTGCCAAGACCACATTGGGATTTTCAACCTCTTGAAATTAGTAGCAGAATTGGCATCAAAACTCCTTCCCAACATCATCTCTTCCTTCTTCAAACTTACATTTTTAAAAGAACAGCTGGAACTCCAAATACTTGGAAATAATCTTAAATTAAAAGAGATGAATGAAGAATAAAAAAAAAAGGACTTACTTTGTAACGGTGATACTGGTCCACCGCAATGTCACCAGTACCATTGTTGGCTACAATACCTGTTCACCAAAACCAGAACAAATCTTAGCATCGATCTCTCAGTAATTGGGTGAGAGTTAGCATTTAATAGTAACATTAGTAGAGTTAGTTGAGTTACCGGGTTTTTTAATAAAAACATCCCAAATGCTGGGGCCACGGCCGTCCTGGTTGGCCATGCCTTCGACTTGATAAGCAGAGGTGGCAGTTCCGAAGAGGAAGCCTGTGGGGAAGGCGTCTCTGCTGAGGCCGCCTGTGTCGAAGTGGACGGTATCAGGATGAGAGGCTCCATTGAGCTCCACTGTATCAGCAACACAGTGGATAATAAGCAGCAGGAATAATGGAAGGGTCTTCATGTTGAAGAAAGAGAGAGAGAGAGTGAGTGAGTGGCTGAAGAGTGAGAGTTGGGTAGTGCGTATATAAAGAAAAGTTGGAACTTGTCTTAGAAAATTTGCCAAAAAATCTGTAAAGATATTATGGGTCAAATACAGTGGTTGGTTTTAGTTTAGTTCTGGCTTTTAGTCACTTGTCCAGTGCACTACCGACAATATCAATACAGTAATTCTCTTTCTCTGTAAGTCTGTATCAAACCAAATCTTGCTATTTAATGTGTTAATCTGACAGAAACTCGTTGCACCTGCAATATGCATATGGCCAGTAGGGTGTAATATAAGAGTCTTGTATTAAAAAGTGGGCCAAACGACTTACGTATACCCAAAGTTTATCGAAACGATAAGTTGGTATTCAAAAAGTTTTAAAATGATAAATAGGTACCTTCCATTATATGTTGTTAGTAATTTCTGTTTGTTAACAATGAAAAGACTAAAATGCCCTTCAAGTTTGATATTTTAGTTTTTTAAAAATTTCTAAAAAACCCTCTAGGTTTGCTAATTTAACTAAACACCCCCATATATAAAAAGTTTGTTAAATGACAAAAACACCCCCACCAGCTGCGGCCAGATTCTGGCCACCACTGCCGGAATCTGGCCAGAAATTGCGTTACGACACAGACCCAGTCGGATCTGTGTCGTAACGCCCCGATCTAGACTTTTTCGGCCAGATCCGTGACTGATCTGGCCGGAAAAGACCAGATCTATGGCCAGATCTGGCCATCTACACCGCAGATGAAGTTTTGCGGCCACGATGGCCAGACCTAGCCGTAGATCTGACCTTTTCCGACCAGATCACCCACAGATCTGGTCGTCGAGGCAACAGATGGAGTTTTGCTGCCTCGACGGCCAGATCTGGTCTTTTCCGGCCAGATCAGTCACGGATCTGGCCGAAAAAGTCCAAATCGGGGCGTTACGACACAGATCCGACGAGGTCTGTGTCGTATAGCAGTTTCCAGCCAGATTCCGGCGGTGGTGGCCGGAATCTGGCCGCAGCTAGTGGGGGTGTTTTTGTTATTTAACAAACTTTTTATATATAGGGGTGTTTAGTTAAATTAGCAAACCTAGGGGGTTTTTTAGAAATTTTTAAAAAACTAAAATATTAAACTTCAAGGGCATTTTAGTCTTTTCACTGTTAACAAACAGAAATCACTAACAACACATGACGGAAGGTACCTGTTTGTCGTTTCAAAACTTTTTGGATACCAACTTATCGTTTTGACAAATCTTGGATATGCGCAAGTCGTTTGGCCTAAAAAGTGTCTAGAAAAGGGTGTTTAACAGTAAGCAGATCTTATCTTTAAGGAATTGTCAATGGTGATAGGTGAGGAGATGCAGTATAATTGGAAATCAACATCTTAATCGAAGAGAATAGATGACAGATCCGAATTGGAAACCAAAGGAAAAAGACAAAGGGAGTCAAGGGT